GACTTAGGAGATCCCTTCCAGCTCTATTCTATTTTAGACATCAGCCAATTGAGAATGGACATCTTCAGTCTGAATATCACACTGTTTACTACTCAGTACATAAAAACAGAGAAGGAATGGCATTGCCTTTATAATTAGGAAGGCTATAGCAAGAAACCTAGAAAAGGACCAGACCATCATCATCATCACCACCATCCTACCAAAGGCTGAACTATGGTTATTATGGACAGTTCACAATATTTACAAAAAGCAAAAGAACTACTAGAAGACAAAGAAAATTACATCCCAATGAACACTTACAGAATACTAAAACTAGACAACTCGATCAAGAGCACTCCTGGTGACCTCGCTAGGAAAGGCCAAGTTACCAAAGAGGAACCGTGGTGGATGAGAAGCAGTGGATCCATCCTCCTGTGTCTCCATGGAGGCCCTAAAATACACAAGCCTGAAATATCTCTCTGTCCATTGGCATCATTCCTGGGGACTCCCCCAACATCGCAAAAGAAATAACAAAAAAGCTGGGGCACGTCCCAAGGGGAAGCAAACACTCCATCAACTCCCCACTGCAGGGCCCTCAAACGGTCAGAGACCTGACCATGGATGAGGGCGAAGTCAGGGTCTCATCTGATGTCGGGGGCCCTTTTCACAGATCTGGAATGAGCCAAAGGATCTGTGACCACATCACTCCACAGCACATCTGACTTAAACTAAATACATGAAGGTCGAAACACGCAGGACCATGGAGCTCATAAACCTCTGCTTAGCCACACACTTCCAGTTTGATGGACAAACTTACCAACAAATTAAAGGCACCCCTCTGGGACCACTGCTTTCAGAACTTACAATGGAGGTTATTACGCAACGTCTAGAAGCCCTAGCACTCCCACAAATACAATCCAAAACGTGGGTCAGACTTGCAGGTGACACTTCACCATAATAAAGAAGGACCAATCAGAGAACACACACACACTACCATCAACAATGTCTTCAAAGGAATTCAGTTTACCAGAGAAGAAAATGACTTGCTACCCTTCCTGGCCATCTTTTTTTTTAAAAAAAAAATTCTATTAATTTTCTAATATTACATTTGCGTATTTGAAAAGCAACGTGGCAGCTGAGTACAATAATTCCATTACATCAGCAGATCAGCAGAGACCACAATGGCAAACTGGAAACACAAGTGTGCAGAAAAACCACCCTCGACAACCAAGTGCTCCACTACCAAAGCAACAGCCCAACCTCCCACAAGAGAAGCAGTGTAAGGCCTTTATTTAGACGAGCACAAATTCACTGCAGCCACCTCAAAAAAGGAAACAGGACATCTATATGGCACATATTGCCTGTTCCAACAAAATGGATATCCACACAACTTTATCAAAAAGTACCTGACCACTCAACCCAATACAGCACAATCAACACAAGCCCTAAAACAGACTTACACTGCCATACACCAAGAAGATCTCAGAAGCCACCAACAGACTATTTTACAACCACAGGGACTCAGCACAAGCGCACAAGCCAACTAAAGGCCCCCCCCCAATCCTAAGTAAAGCAAAAAGACCCCACAGCCCCAGAAGAAGAAAAAAGAAACAGGAGTCATCTACAACATACAACGCAGTGAATGCAACAGCCACTGTGTGGGGCAAACAGGCAGACGGCCAGCAGAGCTCATCCAGGAACACCAATGAGCCCTCGGAAGACAGGATGAGAACTCCTTAATTTCACAACATATAGACAGGCTTAACCGTAGCTTCAGCTGGGAAACTGTGACCACCCTAGCCTAAGTCAAGTCCAAAAATGCTAGGGAATTTCTAGAAGCCTGGCACTCTGACAAATTGGGCATCAGTAGACACAAAGATGTAAATAATATCTACATGCAAAAAGACACAATCAACCCAGCCAAAAAGGAAGCCAAAAGACAAAAACTCCTCCTCGCCAGCAATCAGCACCCAGAGGAGACAGATTATATTAGACCAACAACCAAGAAGTAAACAGTGCCCCAATCCAGGAACTGCCAAATAAACCAACAGTAAAAATCCCAACCAGAGAACCCCCGAGACCATCCTCCACCAACACTGACAGGGCGAGACATCAGAATATAAACTGAGACCAAACTCTACTCCCTTCTAACACTGATGATGTTGCCTAGCTGGGTAATGAAACGTCTGCAAGAAAACAACCCAGTTCAGAGGGCATCAGGGACCCCCTGGAAGCATCAGTTCTAGAAGAGGAAGCCGGATCAGCCCTGGGCTGGAAGGCCAAAGGAACTGATGGAAGACCCAGTGAAACATGGCAACCAACCAAAGAAGACCAGACTATGTCAGCAATTCTGGAGAATATCACAAATTTTGTTGTTTTATATTCCGACTTAGCCTGTTCGCCTCCTACAAACCCTCCACTGTAACTCTGGGACTGCATCTGATGCGGGGGGAGGAATAGCCAACAGTTTAGAACAGGGGTAGGCAACCCAAAACACTCAAAGAGCCACTTGGACCCGTTTCCCACCAAAAACAAAACACTGGGAGCCGTAAAACCCTTTTGATATCTAAAATGAAGATAACACTGCATATATCCTTTTTTACCTTTATTATAGGTGTGTGTATGTGTATGTGTGTGTGTGTATGTGTATGTGTATACACACACACACACACACACACACACACAGACACAGAGACAGACACACCCAGACAGACACACACACACACACAGAGAGAGAGAAGCAGGGAAGCGCAATTGCCTCTCTCTGTCTCTGTCTCTCTCTGCAAAGGCAGAGGAGGCTGGGAGCCACAGGGGAAGGCTCAAAGAGCCGCATGCGGCTCCGGAGCCGCAGGTTGCCGACCTGTGGTTTAGAAGAAGGATCTCTGCAGACTTGACCACTGGGCCCTATCCAAGAAAACACAATTCAGTGGTGAAAAAAAGGAAGGCATTACACTGGGCAAGAAAAACCACATGCACAGGTAGTGAATACGGGGTTGTAGCAACTGTGAGAAGGATCTAGGGTTCTAGTGGACAATCCCTTAAGTATGAGCCAGCATTGTGCTGCAACTGCCGAAACAGCCAGTGCAGTCACTAGGCTGCATCATCAGAGGGCGAAGGTCACATGAAGTGGTAGCACTGCTATGTACTGCATTGCTCAGATTACACTTGGAATACTTTGTCTATTTTTGGTCACCATGATACAAAAAAAAAAAATGATGAGACTCTGGAAAGAGTGCAAAGAAGAGCAACAAAGATGAACTGGAGGCTAAAGCATATGATGGACCGTTGCAGGTATTGGGGGTGTAGTTTAATAAAAGAAGAACTAGGGGTGACATGATAGCAGTCTTCCAATATCTAAGGGGCTGCCATAAAGAGGAGGGGTCAACCTATTCTTCAAAATGCATGAAGGCAGGACAAGAAGCAATGAAACTAATCAAGGAGAGAAACAACCCAGAACTAAGGAGAAATATCCCGACAGCGAGAACAATTAACTAGAGCAGTGGTTCTTAACCTTTTTGAACGAATCGCCCCCTTGAGCCAATGAGGAAGTTGTCATCGCCCCCTTCCCCTAACATAATCTCTCAATCACAACATAGGAAATAATTCTTCAATTTATGCAAACACTTTTTTTGTTTTCTTTAAAATTGTCATCAGGATATATCGATGCAAATAATTTATTTCCAGTCTTTTTCCCATATCTCAACTGTGTGAAAAATTTTGGTGCTACCCGTCACTTTATTCCCAAACTTCATTTTTCATGAATCGTTGACTCATCAATCTGCATCACAAATTCTGTATTTTTCAAGGTGTCAATAAGCCTTTCTTCCACATCAGCAGCCATTTCATCAATTCTTTTTGATACGGTGTCATTGCTCAAAGGAATCGATTGCATGATAGTGCTTGCGCTGGGCCCCAACATGGTGGCAACAATCTGTTTCACTGCTGGTAAAATCAGCGTTTCTCCAATAGTGTGAGGTTTGCCACATTTTGCTATCAGCAAAGATACTTCATAGGAACAAATGAGCCCCCTGTCAGCGTTGGGTGACGATTTTCCAAATAACTTCCCAACAGTGCTGCGACCCTCAAACTTGGCCTTTAAGGATTGGAAAAATGATGCCGGTTTGTCGGCTTTATCTGAATGAATTCTTACCAAATGGTCTTTCAGTCGGGAAGGCTTCATCGCTTCATTTGAAAATGTTTTCTCACAAAGAAGACAAAACGGAAGCTGTACGTTGGAAGGAGATGGAATGAATCCCAATTTTAGGTATTCCGTCGAATATTGGCAACACTTTCTCTTCTCGACCATATTGAGAAGTCTTCAAAATGAAAGGCACTATCTGCAAATTAAATTTTTGACTCCACTGGAACACTAAAAAAACACACGTGGACATCAATAAACCTAGTTTCAACAGTTACATTGACATTACAGCTGATGTCACAGGGGACAGCCACTCAGCATGCGATGTTTTGAAAGAAGCGCTCCCCCCTCCATCACTGCCCATTCTGGCCAATGGCGTGCCACTCTATGGGTAGACGCTGCTGTGCAAGGCGCATGAAGATAAGTGATGCGTCTTCACATACGTACGGCGTTCTGTACTGAAGCTAGCTGGAGGAACATTTGAAAACACAATTCAATCCACTAATAGCGAGTGATCTGATATTTTTGTATGACAGATATACTGTACGAAAAAGTCTCAAAAGTGTCCCCAAAACTTCTCGCTCCATCGCCCCATATCACCTCCTTTTTGTTCCATCGCCCCCCTGAAAAATGAAATCGCCCCCTGGGGGGGCAATATCGCCCAGGTTAGGAACCACTGAACTAGAGGAACGGCTTGCCTTCAGAAGTCACTGGAGGATTTTAAGAAGAGACCGAACAGCCACTTGTCCAGAATGGTCTAGCTAGGATCTTCTGCTTGAGCAGGGGGTTGGACTAGAAGACCTCCAAGGGCCCCTTCTGACTTATTACTGTTATTCTCATATTCTGTATTCTGATAGGTCTTTCCCCTGATATCTTTGCCCACCTGATACACCTCCGGATCCGGAAGGAGACGCCGTCCCCGCAGGTGCTGGAACATGCACTCCAGCTGCCCCAGTGTGTCCATGTTCCGCGGGCGGGTTGGTGTCGTTGCTGGGGCTCTGATTCCCGATCAAGGTCCAGCAGGCCATTGTTTCTCCCCTACTTAAAAGAAGATGGCAAAGTCACCAGAGGAAACAGGCACCAGCCCGGCACCACTCAGCACAGCCTCTGAAGTGTGTGTGTGTGTGTGTGTGTGTGTGTGTGTGTGTGTTATTTCTGACCTTGCCACATTTTTGGCCTATTGAGCAACTCCCTGTCTCTCGCTTGGAAGCAGGGCTATGTCTTTTCCTCCACGCCATCCTGAGGCAACCTCTTAGGATATGCCCAGCTAGCCCTTGGCAGTGCAGGTCAGTGAGCGATGGGGGCAGGAGCACGCACGTGTGCAAATGAAGAGGAAAGCTGTCCAAGAGTGGGAAGGCTGGTCCCTGGTGTCTCTCGCAGGATGGGGCAACCTCCTGAGAGTGGCCAGTCCTGGGCTACCGACAGGCTTTGCTCCTCCCTCCGCTGGTGGGCAAGTGGTGAGTCATCGTGGCTCCAGCCACAGATGGGCAGCCTGGCCAGTATAACTCCCCACTCTGCTGGCAACGGCAGGGCAGGGGGTTCCTTCTCTGAAGCTGCTGGGACAACGGTTCAACCAGTCGGACTTGAGAGGCCCTCTTTGGGAGAGGAGGCTCTTGGCTGAACAGGTGGGGCTGCTGTGTCTCCGAGAACACTTCTGGGCGAGAATACTCGTTTCTGGCCATCCCTGTCTTGCCTCTTCTCTCCTGATTAGCCTCCAGTGAAGATGGTGGGTGACATTTCCTGGCCTGCTTCCTCTCTGGTCTGATGGATGGATAGACGGCTGCTCTGCTGTGAGCCTCTGGATGGAGTCTCCCCCCCTTCCCCATCTTCTGCTCTGCCTGCTGGCTGGCAAGGAGGAAGGAAGGGAGGGTCCCCCCCCTGCAGGCATGACCTGGTCTGGAGAGGCCATGCCTAGTCCCGATTAGTCAGGCCTGCCCTGCCCTGCCTCCCCTCCCCCTACCCCCAGAGGCCGAGCTGTCTTCCAAGGGAGTGCTTTGACTGGCCTTGTGCTGCTGAATGACCACTGCCAGAGCAGCCTGTGGGTGATCCTGGTGCAGAGGGCATCTTTCCCTCTTTCCAGCCCTCCTCCCCCGCTGCAGAGGCCAAGCACAGAGGCAGCTTATTGTCACCGCTTGTTGCATGGACTGAATGGGGAGGGGAAGAAGATCACCCCCCAAGGGTCTTCCACCCTCAGACCAAGGAAAGGGCACCTGATGGCTGCTGGTGGGAGGGGGTGGGAGGGAGCCCTCCGGGAGCCTGCAGCTGAGCTATCTTGGGCAGCTATCTTGGGTAAGGTGGCTGTGCTGCATCTGGTTGCCAAGTTTTTGCTACCTTTGGTCCCTTGTTTTTATGACAGCATTGTTTTATTATCTTTCTGTTTGGCCCTCAGTGGGAACTGGGTGGCAAACAAGTTTATGAAACAAACTAATGGCTCTCTCTCAAAGTAGAGTAAAAGTAATTGGCATAAAGACTCTGTGTGTCTTCAAGAACTGATCACGATGGGTGCCAGTCTGGATCATGGCAGCCAACCAAGCCCACCAGCTGTGCCAGCACTTGGTTGGCTGCTCCGAAGCATTTTGTTGCACCCAGGCCTCTGGTAGCCACAAGGAACGTGGCTTCTCAGTGCATTGAGCAAATTTTCTTGGGAAAAAATGAAGGACAAGGCTGGAGAAAGACACTTGTAAGGATTAAGAAAATGCTAATCACTTAAATATGAGCCAGCCGTGTGCTGCAGCTGCCAAAAAAGCCAACACAGTGCTAGGCTGCATTAATAGTCACCTGAAGTGTTAATACCACTTTACAATGCCTTGGTAAGGCTATACTTGGAATACTGCATCCTGTTTTGATCACCATGATGTAAAAAAGATGCTGAGACTCTAGAAAGAGTGCAGAGAAGAGCAAGAAAGATGATTATGGGACCAAAGATAAAACATATAAGGAACGGTTGCTGGAATTGGATATGTCTAGTTTAATGAAGAGAAGGACAAGAGGGGACATAATAGCAGTGTTCCAATACCTCAGGGGCGGCCATAAAGAAGAGGGGGTCAAGGTATTTTTCAAAGCGCCTGAAGGCAGGACAAGAAACAACGGATGGAAACTCATCAAGGAGAGAAGCAACCTAGAACTAAGGAGAAACTTCCTGACAGTTAGAACAATTAACCAGTGGAACAATTTGCCTCCAGAAGCGATGAATCACTGGAAGTTTTTAAGAAAAGACTGGATAGCCATTTGTCTGAAATGGTCTAGGGTTTCCTGCCTGAGCAGGGGGTTGGACTAGATGACCTCCAAGGTCCCTTACAACTATTCTATTCTTTGCTTTAGAAAGGAAAATTCAAGAGCAAAACAAACAAATAACTGAATTAAATCGATGATGAGCTCCAAATCCAGCTTTAAATTAATAAAAATTAGAAACAGATTTAAAAAAACAACACAAAGTGAAATATGTAAAAAAAGTGCAGATAATTTTTTAATAAGCACACAAACACTCACACACAAAAGGGGAAATCATAAAGAAGTGATTCCCCTCCTTTATCAAGACAAGTTCAATAACCTATCACTTTCTCTTATCTCTTGTCACAAAAGAGATATCCCCGTTTCTCATCTCTTATCTGCCAGATGTCCTACTCAACAACAAAAGTCCATTAAGAGTTACAAAAAATAACACTTATATATTAACTTCAATCAAATAAACCAACCTTATATCCCTTTATTTTTCACAGTCATTTATCATTTCCCCCAAAATCACAGATTGTCATTTTCTTTTCCAGGATTTCTTGGGAGATTTTGTCAGTTTGGATTTCTTACTTGGGGGACAAATGGCCAAGCTCAGACCCATTATGCCAGCTTCCCCTGGGGAGAGTCTGGGATAGGAAGAAGGAAAGGGGAGGAGAGGAGGGAGGAGCAGCAAGGGGGATCTCAGCTGTGATGGCGGCAGCACCTGAGGAAGCAGGCTAGGGACAGAGGCCGTCTTCCTGGCCACTAACGGTCAGCAATGACTTGATGGTACACAGTCATAATAGATCAATGTGTCCCACCTTTTACTGAGGTCAAAGGACACCGTGTTCACCACATTCCCTGGCTAATTAAAGGGGTTATTCTGTCAAAAATGATCTGGCTCCTTTGACATGACTTATTCTTGATTAAGCCCCGCTGGCTCCTGCCAAGCCACACATTCTTTCCTACTTACTCACAAACTGACAGCATAAAATCTGTTCCGGAGGTCTGTGTGGCACAACTGTCCTCTGCAATGACCTCAGGCCTCTTTTTCCCCCTTTCCGGAGGCAGAAACAACGTCTCCTTTCTCCAACCCTCTGGCGCCATCCCTGCCCTCCGTGACTTCTCAAGATCACAAAAAAGGGCTGCGAGATGACCGGGATTCTCAAACTGAAGCCATCTGGCCCAGGAGACCTTAAGCGCCCCTTTCCCCGAGACTCTTGGACGTTTCCTCCCTGGGCCTGGCCTACCTCCCTTTCTTCCCAGTAAGAAAAAGCACGTCTCGAGGGTTGTCCTGGAGAGACCTCCAGGCGAGAGAGGGAGACTGTAGCCCACCAACCCTCACAGACACGTTCCCCCCCCCCCCCCCGTCCTCTGGGCATGGGTCAAGGGATGCTTATGAAGGCAGTGGACATATTGACCTTCCAGGGATGTAGGGTCAGAGCAACCCAGAAGCTGCTCCAGGGTGATTCAAAGCATTTGGCTAAATTTATGGATTTATTTTTTTAAAAAAGGGGGGGGAGCTCCTTGGCAGCAAAAGCATTTCAGGAGTATGCCAGCTTTCAGCCTTGTGGCCCAGGCTCTGGCAGGAATAGGGAGCCTGCTGTGGTGCTGGGCATTTATTTTTTTTCCTGTTATGCTCATGAATGAATGGGCGAAGTTGCAGACGAGGGACCTCCTTTGGTTGTGCACCCATTCTCACAATATCTGGTTCCCCTAACAATCATTCCTTCACTCTGAAAGGATGCTACTGTGTTTCCCTGAAAATAAGACCTAGCTTGATTTTTACATGTGTGCCCAATACAAGACCTGCCCCCAAAATAAGCCCTAGTTCTGGGGCATGGCACATGCTAAAACTCAAGCTAGGGAGGGGGTGGGGGTGGAGGTGCCCCAGGCACCCACTTATCCTTAGGACCACCGCAGCCAGGCCTCCCACACCCGGACACCTGTCATGCCGTTGCCCGAGTTCTTCTGCGGTCACTTGCAGCCGCATGCCACCTGGCGCATCACACTGCTGCCACTGCTCACAACAGAAGGCCCCGCAGCGCATCGCACCGATTACACCGCTGCCACTGCTAGCGGCTGGAGGCCGGGAGGCTTGTCACGCCGATCATGCTGCTGCTGCCGCTTGCCATAGCAGGCCGCAAACCTCGTGATCAGGGTGATGAGCCTCACGGCCTCCTGCTGCAAGCAGCAGGAGCAATGTGATTGGCACAATGCGCCATGTGGCCTGCAGCTGTGAGCAGTGATACCAGTGTGATCAGTGCGATGCACTGCACAGCCTCCTGCCACAAGTGGTGGCCTGGCGCAATCGGCACAATGAGCATGACTTATTCTTGATTAAGCCCTGCTGGCTCCTGCTAAGCCACACATTCTTTCCTACTTACTCACAATGGATGGAAACTAATCAAGGAGAGAAGCAACCTAGAACTAAGGAAAAATTTTCTGACAGTTAGAACAATTCACCAGTGGAACAACCTGTCTCCAGAAGTGGCGAATGCTCCAACACTGGAAGTTTTTAAGAAGAGACTGATAGCCATTTGTCCGAAATGGTGTAGGGTTTTCCGCCTGAGCAGGGGTTGGACTAGATGACCTCCACGGTCCCTTCCAACTTTATTATTATTATTATTATTATTATTATTATTATTATTATTATTACTACTACTACTACTACTACTACTACTACTACTACTATTATTACAAGAGGCCTCAGAAGAACTCGGGCAGCAGCGTGACAAGTGTTGGGGTGTGGGAGGCTGCAGCGGTCCCAAGGTAAGACATCCCCCCAAAACGAGTCCTGATGCTTCTTTAGGAGACAAAAATATGTAAGACCAGGCCTTATTTTTGGGAAAACACGGTATCTGGCGCGAAACACAAACTCTGCCAGTGAAAGTCCAGATCGACTGATTTATTGCTGAAAGCCTTTTCACAGGAATCTTCTCAATTAAGGGTCAGCCCCCCCCCTGTTAGTTCAGGTGTGGCTCTTTTCAATCCCCCCCCCCCAGCTTTGCCAGTCCTTCCCTGCAGGGGCTAAGACAACTCAACAAGTTAGCAGTGAGGGATCGGAGACAGCAGCTCTCTTCCCCAGACCCTAATTTGGGGACCCTCTGTGTAAATGCCTCCTCCTTCTCAGTGAGAGGAGGCGGGCAGTTCCCGGGTGCTGTCAGCAGAGCTGACCCGAAGCCTCTCTGCTCAGGAGGGGGGGTGGGCTGAAGGAGAGACCAGTCACGCAGTTCTGGAGAGCACTTCTGGGTTTGGGCTGGGTGGACTCACCTGAACCGGGCACGCAAAGACCAGGCCAGTCAGGAGCAGGAGCCTCCAGCAGGAGAGCTGCCTGTAGGAAAACACCAGAGGGAAATGAACATTTTCAAAAACTTTGTCAGGAAGGGAAGAAAATGCTTTGCCAATATCTTGTAAGTTTAGAGAAAAACTGTACTGTGGCCAAACTGTAGTGCCAAAGATATGCAAATGCTTTGATGATCTGCCCTGAGTCTCTCAAGAAGGCCTTCTGGTGCGGAGTCCCCCCCCCCCCCCGCCTCCACTTCTTCCCCCTTGTGATGCACAGCCTCCCCCACCCCCCACCCCAGTTCACAGCCCAGGGGTCAATGTCTGCAGAATAACAACAGAACAACAGAGTTGGGAGGGTTATTACCAGCGTGACCCCTTCGCCAGCTCTGCAGGAGGATGCTGGCAAGACTTTCTGACCAGCTTCCCAACTGAGTGTGGAAACTGTAGTAGAAAAAAATTGGGAGCAAAAGATAAAAGTGCACTGCAAAGAAAGTAGGGAAACATCTCGATCCGGGTCTTGACCATCCCTCAGGGATTTAAGGCGGCCTTGTCCTGAGTCGGCTACATGGGCCAAGCTACACCGAGCCCCCTGGCAAGCGCAGCCACGAGGGACCTGTGCAGGGAGCCGCCTTCGCCCTGAAGGCAGGACCCGAGTCCAAGGCAAGCAGCCAGCTTTTTTACACAATTTGGCAGAACAGCAGCAGCACCACACTGGCGAGAACAGGTCTTGGTGAGCTGTCCTGGCCTCCAGTTGTGGGCAGTGGCTTCTTCCAGAAGGCCTCGGTGAACGATCCTTCTGTATGGTCAATTGGTGTATGTCCCGGCCCGGAGAAGACAAACTGTGATTTAAAGTTTAAAAATCGATTGCAATTCCTGTTGAACCCAGGCTGTGGAAATGCCAAGTAAATGAAGACAAGTGTTGGAAATTCAACTGATTTTGGGCGGACAGTGCCCCTTAACATGGGTGTCCCCCTGAAATGCTTTTGATCCCTGAGCCTGCCATTCCAGGATGACCGTCCTGGACCAGCCTCCCAGTTCCCTCAGTGATGGACAGGCAAGGGCTTTCTGGGGTCCCCTTGGGCCCCACCTGCCCTCCCACTGTCTGGAGCACCTAAAGCAAAAGGCTCCTGCCTAGGACTGGCGGAAGGGGGTTCCTCTCTATGGGGCTAAGGGGTGTGGCTGGCGGGGGAGGGCATTTTCAGTGCAGTTGTGAGCAATACACAAATCGATTACAGGTATAGTTAGTGCTACTAAAGTATTCTGCATACCTAAAATCAACATTTTGACTGATTATGTGCCACCCAGTATTTTTGACCCCCAATGACTACATAGATTGAAAGAAACATGATTCCAACTTTTATGTCATATCATCCTAAGCAAAGCTAGGGGCAGACTGGGTGAATTACATGGGGTGATGTCCTTTTCAGGGATCAGGCACAAGGGGGTAGGGCCAAGCTCTTGGAGGAACAGGGGGCGCTTGGGGGTTTGAAATGGATGGATCTGCCACCCACAAAATAGCAATCTGGGCTGCCAGATTACAACAATCACAGCCACCCAGAATAGCCATGTGGGCATGCCCTGGAGATCAGCCAAGGGGGCGGACCCACTGCCAAGCGGGCCAGCTGCTGTCCTACGTGCAGCCCCACTGCCAGGGAGACCGGAAGGGGATGCTGATCTCCCTTAAGAACCTGGGCGTGGAGCATGGGTCCCCTTCCACAATGGCACCAGCTTCTGCAGCTCTTTGTCGGTCCTCAACAAGGAAGAGTTGGGGGGCGACGGAGGTGAGAGCAGTCTGGGAACCGAAGCACGATTTAACTGGCACAGAAGAGACTGTCAGTGTTGCAAAAAGCAGAAGAGCCAGACTTCTCATTCCTCCACCAAGTCCCAGGCTTTGCCAGAAAGTTTAGCCCCTCCAGTACAGGTGGCCTGGCATTTCCAGCCCAGGGACCTAGAGTGGGAAGAGGGCACGGGGGAGGGGCAGAAAGGGCAGCTCCCAGAAGGGCATGGACGCTGTGGCCCTTGGGAAGGGGAGCACAAAGCTCAGGAAGGGGCCAGGCAGAACCCCAGGGGTCAACACCAGAGAGCAGGACTGGGAGTAATGGATGGAGGATCATTAAAGAGAGATCCAAATTCGAACTAAGGAGAAATCTCCTTAGTGAGAACAATTAACCAGTGGAACAACCTGCCACCAGAAGTTGTGGGTGTTCCATCACTGGAGGCTTGTAGGAAGAGCCACTTGTCTGGAATGGTACAGGGTCTCCTGAGCGCAAACCCTGAGCAGAAACCCTGGCAGATCCTCCCTGGGTCCTGCGGGGGGGCGGAGGGGGGAAAGGAAGGGTTCTTCTTTCATTTGCACAATAGGCGGTTCCGGTTTCTCAAGGCTCCGACCGACCGACTTAACCTTATTTCCTCCTTTAGCTCAACGGACCTCCTTGCCCAGAAACAGCGCGACTCCGAAAAACTGGTGGGGTGCGGGCTGCCCCTCCCCGGCTGCCGGCTGCCGGAGCTGGCCTAAGAGGGTCCCTTTGCTCTGCGCCCAGAGAGGGAGAAAGCAGAGCTGGCGGCCGGCCGAGGTCTCCGCTTCTAGGCACAGGGCGAGCGCCGCGGTGGGACAGATGCGCGGCACCTGCTGCCGCCGCTCTGGAAGCGGCGCCGGCCGGTGTAGCGGCGCTCGGCGATAGCTTGCAGCTGCACGGGAGGGTCCGGGGCTCCGCAGCTGCACTGCCTTCCCAGCCCTGCGGAGCAGCAGCAAACACGCCGATCTCCAGCGGGCTCCCGAAAGCTGCCCGGGATCCGCGGGCGACAAAGAACCGAGGCAAGACCGGGGGAATCCCTCTTGGACCCGAGGCACGGCCGGCAACGGGAGGCGCTTCGACGACCCCAGGTCTCCCGGGCACGGTGCCCTTGTAGCACCCGCTGAAGGCCGGCACTAAGCAGAAGGAACGGCTACTCACCAGAACCTGAGCACGTCAGAAGCGGAGCCCCGTGGCTGCATCTCCCACAGCCCGCGTGGCCTGCAGTGGCACCGGGGACAGCTGTCCGTGCCCCCCCCCCAACGGGGCTTTATTCCCAGAGGAGCCAGGAAGAGCTCAGGCCCAGCCAAGCCCGGGTGCGCACCCGCCCCGCGGAAGTTCCCTCGCGTTTCTTCCCCGGCTGCTCTCCCACCGAGTTTGGGCGGGTCCCACGCAGGGTGGCGGTTGGGGTGCTAGCGGAGGGAGGGAGGAGAGCGAGTGCCTAGGCTGCAGCCGCCTCCCACACCGGAGTAGGGAGCTTTGCGGGGGGGGGGGATGTACTGCTGAGCACTGTCAGACCCCCTCCCGGAGGAGGAGCAGCAGCAGCAGCAGCAGCTGTTACTCAGACTCTCAGAAAAAGGTGTGAGGGAGGAACAAGTTGGGTGTTCGCCCTTCAGCAGAATTCACCGGCAATTCCCCGCCCCCCCGCGAGAGGGGATCATCTCAGAGCAACGTGTCTGCAGCCAAAAATAGCCCCGTGCTTCTGAGGGGGGCGGGGGCTGGGAGCCGGACGGAGGAAAAAGCTCTGCAAAATTGATTTGGGATGTTTGAAGAGTGAAGAAGGGGAACCCAATTCCCATCCTCTTGCCTCACTTTCCTGGCCACTTGCCAAGCAGGCTTTGGGAAAGATAGGCCATAAATAATGTCCTTGGGGCGGGATGGAGGGGAAGGAGGGACGGGATGGAAGCCATATGGAAAGAGGGCGAGGGTGGAAATCAGGGCTAGTCCTGGAATCAGAAGTGGATCCAGAACTCCCCATGGGGTGGCATCTGTGGCTTCTCCCTCCCTCCCCCCCTCTTTCTATTTCTCTTTCTCTTTCTCCCTCTCCCCGCGCACATGTGTGCACATGCACATTCCCTGGCTCAGTGAGGAAGCAGTGAGTCACAGCAGTTACACTCAGTCCAAGACAGAGCCAGCCCTCAGTGGGTGAGTTTCCCCAAGCAAAGAGCCAGAGCTAGGAGCCCTGGGACAAGGCAGGCCTCTCCCTCCAGGCCCAGGGTGTGGGTCTCTTGTCCCCCCAGCCCTGCACAGCATGGGCACACAGGTTAAGTACAGGTGCTGATGCCCGCCTGACCCATTAGCAGACCTTGCTGGCCCTTTGGCACAGCAGCCTCAGCAGGGGGGGGCACTGGGCTGCCCTTCCCCCCAGGTAGGGGCTTTTAACCCAGGAGGGGAGCTGCTCTGTCCAAATTCCCACCCCCAAGAGAGTCTCAGTGCGTGAAATGCCTCCCCCCCCCAGAGACTGAGGAGCAGCAACAGAGCTGCCCCTTCTGGAGCTAGCCCGTTCAAGAGAGGCAGCGAGTACCTCCCCCAGCCTTCTGTCTCTTTCCAGGGTTGAGGCAAGTGAAGGCAAAAAGAATTCCCAAAATGTTAGAAGTTAGGGGGGGGGAGGGAGGGGCTGCCATTGGGCTGGAGGGGGAGACACTGCAGGAGAGGCTGGGAAGAAGGGGGGAGGGGAGGGCCATCGATCACCTTGTTCTGGAGCAATTCCAGGTGCAATTCCAAAGATGGTGAGAAAAATGCAGAGTTTTATATATTGTCCAGGAATATAGGCCTGGAATTTTAATGTTTTAACCTTTAAAACCATTTTTAATCTTTTTAATTGTTTTATATTGCTATTTTTTGCTCCCTATGCTAAACTGCCCAGAGTCCCATCTAGAGAGAAGGAATAGGCAATTCAATTGATGAGAACCACATAGATAGGTTTCCTCCGTGAGGACTTATCCCTAGTCTGGCCCTTTAGCTCTTACAATGCCCCTCCCGCCCTTGTGACTGAGGACCCTCCCCTCCGTCTGTCTGCCCATCCGCCCATCCGCCTGACTGTAGGTCCTCTTCTCTCCTTGCACCCCACCTTAGAGGCTCCCCGAGATAGCCAGGTCCTCGCATCATGTCTCCCAAGTAGGATGTACATCTGTGGGGAAGGCTTAGTGCTGTGAGTGAATTTTGCATTAAGATTGATACATACTTTGAGAGCAATGCCTACTTTGGTCCCACTTAAATATTTCAACTGTTATTAAAATGTTAATATTTTTAGTTCTCTGAATACAGAGGATCTCCTAGTTAAATTGATTGTGGTTTTAATTTTCTTCAATAGACAATATAATAGGGCTTTTAACCCAAATCGTGTATTAGAATACAAATGATAGTGATACTTACTAATATTATTTTATTTGATATTTGATTTTATTTTGTTGCATTTTTATAGCTGCCCATCTCACTTACAAAACTGTGGGTATATGTGAACATGGCATAGCTTGAGAATTATTTTAGGGTCTTGGCAGTTCTTAGTCCTAAGTGAGGTAATAAATCATTTTTTTCCCCAGCATTAAAGGCAGTGAGACATGTCTGGGACACGTTGGACAGAATATTTAAATATGACTTTCTGTGTAGTGAGATATGAATCTTTTAGTGTTTTCTTTTGAAAAACAGCTGGCAATGCACTTCGGAAAACATGAGCTCATAACTCTTCCCTTACACAAGAGTTAACTAGTGATACTGCTAAAACTTATGAAATTTTACCAAGTATATAAATTGATGTAGAAAGATGGAATGGCTGTGTGTAAAATTAGAATACTTGTTTTGATAACAGCTAACAAGTAGTTGTTACTAGTTGACAAGTTTTGTGCTCTCAGCTGAGATAATTTTTTTCCCTTTAAGCTGAGATTTTTTTTTACTTTGCAAATTTTATTCATCTTTCATTTTCAATACATGTGTGGATTACAAACTACAACAAGAGGGCAACATCAAGATTAGCTATATGAGGGATTAAAAGGATTCAAGGATTGAACTCAGTAAGCAGTCCTAGAGCAAGAGTCCGAGTCCTGTGGTGAAAGAAGGAACAGTAGGCACAAAAGGAAATAAAAGCTTTTAATGAAATTTTAAATTATTATTGAATATTGAAACTATCATAGGCCTTTTTAACTTGGTTTAAGGGTCTTGAAGCAGTATTCTTCCTCCTGTGCCCATTCTCGGGTCCAGAAAATAGCGCCATCATGCGGTCAAGGCAAGTATAGCAACAGTGGTGGGATTCAAATATGTGAACAACCGGGTCTCTGTATGGATGCTGCTTCCAGAAGTCCATTCTGAACCTGTACAACAAAAAATTAGTTACCAGTTCTGCCAAAGTGGTGCAAACTGGCTGAATCCCACCACTGCATAGCAGCCACCAAAAGAAATCTTTTTAATGGCATTTTAAGGTTATTATTATTTATTAATAAAACATTAATATTAGGCCATCATAGGCTTTCTTAACTAGGTTTAAGGCTTTTGAAGCAGATTTCTTCTGCACCTGTGTTGTAGTAAACAGGCCTTCTGTCGCCCTATTAAGAAGGTGTTAGTATGGGTAATAAAGATAGAAAATACTGTAATCTTAAAATGCCATTAAAATGGTTTCTTTTGGTGGCAGCAATACCTGCTTTCACCACTGGGTGACAGTGTTTTCTGTCCCCCCCCATAGCATTAGCATTGAGGCGTTTTTAATGAACTCAATCCTATCGCGAAGTGATAGGAAAACGTGCCATCCTGTGGTCAAATCAAGTACTGCAGACATAAAGAAAAAAACCTTTTTAATGGCATTTAAAGATTATTCTGTCTAGTGAAGCTATCATAGTCCTTTTTAATTCGGTTCAACACTATTGAAATGAGGTTCCTTCTTCTTTGGCAGTTCTGTAGCCGCTTGGGAATGAAAAACTATGGCATTCTGTGGTCCAAGTAGGTATAGCAGCCATAAAAATAGGGTTAGGGGTTAGGGGGTTATGGTTAGGGTTAGGGTTAGGGGTTAGGGTTAGCGTTAGCGTTAGCATTTTATGAAGCACTTTGATGGTAGAAGAAACAAAAGCTGCCTAGATATAAAATAACTTAGAAACAAACGTACCCAATGTAAAGTTAGAAATAACTATAAACATAGATTACATCTTAAAACTTAGCGTACTAAATTCTAGGAATAAACATAACCGTAAACCAGATTTTGAAAATAGTTAGGGTTAATTGCTGTCCACCCTTTTAAAATAAAAAACACAAAAGCGTAAATGTAACAGCGCCTGCTTGCAACAGCGGTACTTTTGTTTTTTAAATCATCAAGTGGAGCAACCTTATGCCATTGAAATTATAGGTTTATCATTTAAAGGATGGATAAAAGGGATGAGACGTGAGAAGTTGCAACTAATGGCTTTTATTATTTTGTTCGCCGTCCATCTAACTTTGTAGACCTTCGTCCAAAACAAGTCAGGGTTAGGAAGGATAGGAGATTCCTTCCTTTCCTCTCCAGGTTGCCGTAAACAGCCCACCCACCGCCCAGAGGTAAGAGAAAGGGAAAGCAGGTCTCTCTGGGGGCAGCAGGAGACCCGGGTCTTTGCAGAGTCCAGCTTGCAATTTTGCTAACTTCCCCCAGTCACAGCTGCGTCGACTGATGTAGCGGCCAGGAGGAAGGGTGGGGACGCCTGCCGGATGAAAGCTTCAGCCTTTTTGGAAAAGGCAGTGGAGAAAGGAGGTCACGCTCCCTGGATTTCCAGCCTAGAGCCTCCGCCCGATGGGTGACCCCCCACCCCTTGCTGTGGCTGTTAAGAAGGAACTGGGGGGAAACAGGTAAGTTGTCCTTGAGGATTCCCCCCCCCTTTTTGCCACTTTCAGTGAGGTTAAGGCTTTTCCTTTTAAAGAGACAGGGATGGAAATGGAGTAAGGTTGGGAGCCCAGTAAAAACCCCAAGAGGAAGCGGGAAACAGGGTGGGAGGTTGCGATCGCCACCGCTCCTCTCAATATTGCAGTTTTGGTGGGAAATAGCGGGAGGGACCTCTCCAAGGGCCTTCCCACTAGCAGAGCTTGGCAGTCTACCGGAAAGGGCCTTTTCTGGCACACCTGGCAGGCCGTGCGACAGCATCTTTGGGTGATGCTCACGGGCCCCGCTTTCCGGGCATTTAGGGACAAGGTAAGAACGCATCTCTTTGGCCGAGCTTTTGATTTCTGAGCAATCCTCTTGTGTAATATTAAGAGCGATTTCAATTGCGTTAATGTGGTTTGTAGATTACAGCGTTAGCGTTTTATGAAGCACTTTGATGGCAGAAGAAACAAAAGCTGCCGAGATATAAAATAACTTAGAAACAAACGTACCCAATGTAAAATTAGAAATAACTATAAAGATAGATTACATCTTAAACCTTAGCGTACTAAACATCACCGTAAACCAGATTTTGAAAACGGTTAGCGTTAATTGCTGTCCACCCTTTTAAAATAAAAAAACACAAAAGCGTAACTGTAACAGCGCCTGCTTGCAACAGCGGTACTTTTGTTTTTTTAAATCATCACGGGAAAACGGGAGGAACCTTATGCCATTGAAATCAGTTCAAAGTAAGCATCAGGATAAGTTTCAGATCGAAGCTCGGTCAAAGAGATGCAAAATTACCCTGTTCTTCCAGGGTCCCATCG